TGTGAGCCTCACCTGCAGCCTGAACTGGTGCTGTCCTACTCTTCCACCAACCGATTGATATAAGAACTAGAGACCCCGGGTGTTTATTTTTGATTTGAATAATGTTTCAAAGTTTCACTTTAATTGCATTTAACCTTTTAGAATGTATTAGGCTTGATTTTTGTGTGTTCTACATTTCATAGAATCATAGAATCTTTGCGTTGGAAGGGACCCTAAGGATCATCTAGTCCAACCCCTGCAATTCAGGAATCTCAGCTAAAGAATCCATGACAGGAGGCCACTGTTGCGTTCTGAGGCCAAAGGAAGGACTGGACCCTGATTAAAATAAGACACGAGGCTTTGACCGGCAAGGCTCTCGGAGGAAGTGCGTACCCCACACCCCTCACCAGGCCACTTTATTAGCAAAGGAATCCTTTACACAGTGCTCGTAAGAACCAATCAGATTTCCTCTGAGCATTTAAACAAACCCCAAGTGGGGACAAAGTTAAACTATAAAAACTAGTTAGGCATGCATACTTTGGAGTAAATGAATAAAATGGGCAGTAGAGGAAAAAGGCATGAATGTAGAATCTTATGAGATTTAATCAGAAATTATCGTCAATGTATCAAACCCAGTCAACACAATGCATTCATTGTGGACACAATGGCTTGATGCATATTTTATAATTCCTCATAGTAATCCCACCTGACCCCACACTCTGGATATTTGCACTCCTACAGGCCACCCAACCTCTCCTTAAAAACCAAGGAAGGGCAGTCCACCACCTCCTGAGGGAGACCGTTCCACTGTCAGACAGCTCCTACTGTTGGAGCTGTGAGTCTCTCCCCTCCTAAGCTGCCTTCCAGCTCTCCTTATCTGACCCTGAAAGGCAGGGTGTTTTCCTATGTCAGTTATGAGTTAACATCAGGGAAGAAATCCTTGGCAGTTTCCTGAAAGATAGACGGGAGAAATGTCAATCAAGACTGATCATAGGCTAGGAGGCCAGGGCAACATGGGACACCCGATGCCTAAATTGGGCAAAAGGCCTACACACGTCTGGTCAACCCCGGGGGGGGGGGGAGACGCCATGCGTGTTTTCTATCCCATGACTTGTAACCTTTCTTGATGTATGTGAAAATGTTTTATGACTCGTTGTTTGCTGTGTTTGAACTACGATATAAGCCTTTCTTCTGAGGTGCCCTGGGGCAGCCCTTCTCAACTGGCCGTTGAGTGGAGTGAGCTCTGTCCTATTGCAATAGCTATAATAAGCGCTGGGTCCCTAAATCCTGATGCTGGACTTGAAAAATAGTTTCTGTGGTTTATTCAAAAGGTGGATGTTCCTCACCCGGGTAACAAACAAGGTGATGTAGAAGGGAATTCTTACATTTGTCCCTATTGAAATTCAGTATGTTAGATTGCACCCAGTTTTCCAGTCCGTTAAGGTCATTTTCATTTTCTGCGACATTAGCGACTCCTCCCAGTTAGGTGTCATTTGCAAATTTGATGAGCATCCCCTCAATTCCTTCATCCAAGTAGTTTATAAAGATGTTCAACAGGCTTGTTCTTCTAAATATTCACAGTCTTCGTGTTAATAATGCTTTCCACCAACTTACCTGAGAAACAAGTTAGACTGACAGGTCTTTAATTTCCTGGATTCTTTGTGGATTCTTTTTCAAAACTTGATGTTGGCTGCGTTTCAGTCCTCTGGTGAGGAGGCTGATTCTAGCAATAAGTTACATACTTTACCTTGAAGATCAACAATTTCCCATTTGAGTTCTTAAGAACTCTCAGGTGAGTGCCCCCTGGCCTTGGAGACTTGCCAGCTAGTTCTGAAATTTAATCTTTTGCCACCTTGATTTCATATCGCTTCTCCATTGTGCTTCCGGGGGGTGGGGGCGTGGAGAAGTCTCAAAATTTCTGCAGTGAAGACTAATGCAAATTATTTATTGAGCTTTTCAAGAACATCTGCAGACTTTGGCTGGATCAGACTGAGGGCCATCTGATGCAACAATCTGTGTCCAGATGTTTCTGAGAAGACCACAAGCAGGGATCTGCCCTGAACCATGGTTTATCCTTAGCACTCCCCTGAAAATGATGTTGACTAAGGGATACCAGTGGATGTTCCTCACCACTTTCCTGCACTTTTCATGCATTTAATGCATGTAGGGGGTTGAATTAGATGAGCATCAGGTTCCCTTCCAGCTCTGCAACTCTATGATTCTGCAGCAGCAGAGGCATGTCATCACTCCTCCATAGAGTCCAGCAGAGCCCAATGGATCCTGTACTTAATCCCCTCCAGTCTGGGAAACTAGGATTGCTCTTGTTAAGTTGTGGATGAACATATCAGATGACACAGCAATTCTTCAAACAGCTCTTCTTTATTCAGATGCCAGAACAGAACTGAACTGAAGGGTTCAGCCAGCCTGCTTATATAGAGCTCCAGTACCTTGTTACTGTAACAACTTTCTAAAACTATCCAATCACTGAACGTCACTTTCGATCCTTCATTTGCATAACTATCTACAGTATCCCCCTGCTCGGCCCAGGGTGAAAACTTCAGGACATAACAGCTCTGTCCTAGCAGGCATAGACCAGTCCTTAAATGATCTGCAAGGTGATATGGAAATCATCAGTTTCACTGTTTTTAAGCTCCCATGACTAAACAATAGTAAGACCATCATTTCTCTAAACCTATTACCATTTGCCTTCCAGCTTCCAAGGGGCAGCTGGGCACCTCGAAAGTAAACCCCAGCCCGAAGGAAGGAAGGAAGGAAGGAAGGAAGGGCTCACCATTTCCCCTCACCATCCTGGTCACAAGGTCCTTGGAAAAGTATATGGCAATCTTTCAGAAAAGTGGGTGCCCTTTTAGATAAAACAAAAGCAAAGGTAATTTATTAATGAGCGGACAAAAACACAGCATCATTCTATTTATTTCATAAAATTTATACACCATTTGATTGTAAAAAAAAACCCTAAAGCAGTTTACAAAAAGGTAAAACCATAAAATCAGGAAAAATTCACATAACATGCTAAAATAGTTTAAAATTCACATCAGCTTTACTCCCATGTAAGTGAGGCTAGTTTTGCAGCTCAGGCAGTTGCCTTTCTCCACTGCTGGGCTCGGGTGGGAGACTCAGGGCCAGGCCAGGAACAATTCTTTGTCGATTCCCAGAAATCCCAGGTAGCTCCGGTCACGTGGCTTCAAGCGCCTGGAGCAATTCTGGTCAAGTCACGTGGCCACATCAGCTGGAGCCCCCGCTCAGTGACCAGCCCCTCCCCCAGTCCCACCTGTGCAACATGGGCCTAGCCAGGAGGGGGGGGGGACAGGCTTGAAGTTAGGCGGGGTGCAGAGCCCAGTTATCTGCGATGCAATTGATCAGTCAAGCATTTCTATTTCTTTACTTGATGGAGGGGGGGATGGTTATGCCCAGGGATCCTCTTTGCACCTTTGGAGCTGGAGAAGGAGGCGCGGCCTCGCGCTTGGTCTGTGCAGAGCTACACATTGGGGGGCGTTTAAATGGAGCAAGGCAGGCAGACCAGCGGTCTCCAAGCGGAGTCAAGCAGACACGCGTCTAGCCGGGGTTTCTGCCCCAGGTGAAGCCTCCCGGGGGGGGCATTGGGGCTCCAAGCCAGAGAGAAAGTGGACGAGAGCTCCCCCCCCCGAAGCTGAAGGGGCTCCTTTGGAGCGATGCAGAGAGAGGCTGCGTGGCTCCCCCCGCGAAGCAGAAGACAGGATCCCGCGTGGGTTTGCTGCTGTGTGAGAAAGACATTCAGGAGGGGCAGGAAGCCGAGGAAGAGAAGCAGTTGGACTGGAAGATGATCCGTGGGGTCCCTTCCAGCTCTACAACTCTGCGATCTCTGCAGAACTCTGAATGAGTTTCAATAGCTCAGGTTGAGTCATTTTGCAGACTCTACAACACGATTTACACACAGGAAAGGAAGGGGCATTTTCCCTGCCAGAGGCAGATCCCTGGCAGGCGCTAGTCAGCCTTAGGACTGTACTGGAAGGGCACTTTCTACTCGCAAAAAGCATTTTTATTCACCTTACAGGGAACCTAAAAGGACGACAAAATTACCATTTCTTAAAATGAGTAATCAAACAAAAGTAAAGGAATCTTGTTGAAGCTTAGGAGTAAATTTACACCTTGAAAGGCTTTGCACGGAACCAAGAGAGAAGCGGGTGGCCAAAAGCCCCAAAGAGAGGAGGGGAAAACATTTTAGAAGGAAGCCAGAGGGTCTTGGCTGATCTTATGGAAATGCAGCCTTTTAAGGATCCTGTGGCCAAATAAATCCAATTCCAAACCTGACCTCAGGCACTTGCTCTACGTGGAAGCTCTACCATTGTCAAACGATTTGCTTTTAGTGGAAGGGAGAGCTCGGGTTCCTTGGGATTCAAATAATACATTGCCTACTTTTTATGCCCTTTACAAATAAATGGCTTGAGGTGTTTGTTCGTTCGTGTATGTACGCACAGGACATGGGGGTGGGGGCCAAGCTGGGTCTTTGGCCGGGGGGGGGGACAGCCGAGTTTCGGCCCGGCTTGCTTCTTGGCTGGCGTGGCCTCCCCAAGCGGCGCCCGTCCGGCGGGAGGCTTCGTGGCTCCGAAAGTGGCGGGGAAGGGGCCGGAGCGGGTGTCCTGGCCCGGCCAAGTCCTTCGGCCCCCGCCTCCTGCTTCCTCCCTCCGAGGAGACCCCCTGCCTGCCCGCCCGCCCGCCTGGGGCTTGTGGGCCTGCAAGGAGTTTCCAGGCGAGGCTAGTCCGGCTTCGCGCCTTGGAGTCCCATCGGACGAGAAGCGCGGCTCTCCCGTTTCAGACCCGCTTCGGGAGGGGGGGCGCCTCGACCTTGGCTGGACCCCCTCGAGACCCGCCTGACCGGGGTGGGACCCTGCCTTTCGGCCTCAGACCTTCGGGCTTCGGGCGGGCTTTGGGGCGCCGTCCTCCTGGCCGGCTCCGGGGGTCGGAAGACACAATAGCCGAAGAGGAGGCTCCTCCTCCGGCCCGCCCCGCCTCGCCCCCAGCGGAGCCGGAGTCAGGCGCGCTCTCCCCCGCAGCCGCCATCCCCGGCGCGGCCGGTGCAGCTCGGCTCGCAGCAAGACCCCCGCCGCCGCCGCCCATGCCCGCCGCCCGCTAGCCGCTGCGCCCTCCATGGCTCGGCCCGTGGCGCTGCTCTGCTGCTGCTCGGCGGCGGCGCTGCTGGCTGCCTGCTGGGGCTCCTCCGCCGCCAGCCCCTCCGCCGCCGCCGGCGCCCCGCTGCACGACGAGGCGGACAACCAGGAGAACATCCTCTCGCAGGTACGAGGAGGGAGGCAACCGCGGGGCTCAACCCCACTGCCCGTCGCCGGGGGCAGCTCCGGGGCAGAAGGGGCGGCTCGGCTTGGGCGCACTCCTGCGCGGAGCCCCGGCAGCCCGGGGGCGAGTCAGCCGTGGCCGGGCAGACGCCGATGCGCCGCCACTCGCCCCCTGCCCGGCTCTGGATGCGGCTGCGGGGTCTGCTGGAGGCCGCCTGTTTCCCGCTCCTGAAGTGCGTTCGACGGAGCCGGGATCTGGCTGGGCAGGAAGAAGGTGCAGGAACGAGGAGGCGAGCGCCTTCCCTCTTCGCCCTCTCATCCCCCTGCCGTGCGCACCGAAGGGATCCCGGGGCAGGGAGAGGGGCTCTCCGGAGGACGCGGGCACGAGCGGGGTGCCAGCTGCAGGCACGGCCCGGGGGGAGAGGGAGGGAGGCTTCCCAGTTCCCAGGCGCGGATTTGCTTAGAACTTCAGGAAGGTTATGTTTTCTCTGAAAAACAGGTCTCTTTGGAGGCAAGTTCCCCCGAATGCCTGAGGTTTGCTTCCAAATCAAGGTGTGTTGTGCTGTATTGAGAATTGGATAAATATAAATTTAAAAATGAAATAAAGGTGTGCAGTATTCAGGTGCTGGTTCCAAGGGCATGGAAATCATTATTTAGCATCCTGCAGACTTGCTGCAAGTTAGTTTAGACTGCAAACCAGTTCAGATTAGAGCCATTATTTTTCCAAAGAAGGGTGTATGTGGATTTTTCATTTGGGTGCCTCTCCCTTTGAGAAATAAATATGCTTCATATTTTTGAAGGCTGAACTGTGACTCAGTTGAGCTGAAGCTTTTGGGTCTGCAGCTCAATCAAAAACATCTTTACTTTGAACTCTGTGGAATTTGCTTCTATGGGACTTATTCCAAAGAGAATGTGCTTAAGATGGTGCAGTGATTCATAGCCTTCACATAAACAGGTTGTGTTAAAGAAACTCTCTTCAAAGGTATCTTTCCACTTCATCCCTTGATGGGATCTCTGCACATGTGTGCGCCATGTTGAGCACTGCAGTGTTACACCCTATGGGCTGTGAACTTCCTTAATTTTCATCTGTCTTGGAACAGAAGCACAGTCTGGTGTGGATCTCATCTGCTTCAACTTGCTTCCTAGACTGCTTCCACACCCACCCACCCAATGTTGTTGTCATCAAAATTCCAGTACTTCCCCGCCTTGTCTTTTTTACATTTGATGCAGTTTTCTCTTACTGTGGAAAATCTGTAAAGCTCAAAATAGCCTACTATACATCTGAAGTCACAGATGGTATAAAAGTTCGTTAGCACTTATTTCTTCTTTTATTTTATCTTTTTTGCCAAGTGGGTTGTTAACAGGTAGTTGTTAACATTGCCATCATCATTGTTAAGTTGTGGGTGAACATATCAGACGACACAGCGATTCTTCAAACAGCTCTTGTTTATTCAGAGGCCAGAATAGAACTGAACTGAAGGGTTCAGCCAGCCTGCTTATATAGAGCTCCAGTACAATGCAACTGTAACAATTTTCTAAAACTATCCAATCACTGAACGTCACTTTCGATCCCTTATTTGCATATCTATCTACAGTATAGGGACATGGGTGGCGCTGTGGGTTAAACCACAGAGCCTAGGACTTGCCGATCAGAAGGTCGGCGGTTCGAATCCCCACGATAGGCTGAGCTCCCGTTTTTCGGTCCCTGCTCCTGGCCACCTAGCAGTTTGAAAGCACATCAAAGTGCAAGTAGATAAATAGGTACCGCTCCGGCGGGAAGGTAAATGGCGTTTCCATGCGCTGCTCTGGTTCACCAGAAGCGGCTTAGTCATGCTGGACACACGACCCGGAAGCTGTACGCTGGCTCCCTCGGCCAGTAAAGTGAGATGAGTGCCGCAACCCCAGAGTTGGTCACGACTGGACCTAATGGTCAGGGGTCCCCTTTACCTTTATCTACAGTATCCCCCCCCCTAGGGACGCGGGTGGCGCTGTGGGTTAAAGCCTCAGCACCTAGGACTTGCTGATCGAAAGGTCGGCGGTTCGAATCCCCGCGGCGGGGTGCGCTCCCGTTGCTCGGTCCCAGCGCCTGCCAACCTAGCAGTTCGAAAGCACCCCCGGGTGCAAGTAGATAAATAGGGACCGCTTACTGGCGGGAAGGTAAACGGCGTTTCCGTGTGCTGCGCTGGCTCGCCAGATGCAGCTTTGTCACGCTGGCCACGTGACCCGGAAGTGTCTCCGGACAGCGCTGGCCCCCGGCCTCTTGAGTGAGATGGGCGCACAACCCTAGAGTCTGTCAAGACTGGCCCGTACGGGCAGGGGTACCTTTACCTTTACAGTATCCCCTACTGGCCCAGGGTGAGAACTTCAGTACATAACAATCATCATCTTTGCTTTTAAATTGTTTTATTGTGCATTTTCATTCAGGTTGTTTTAATGACATTGTGTATTTTTTTAATACTGTTTTTATTTATTTTCAAGGTACAGAAGATAATTTTTGAGAAAATAATTGTTACAACAGTAAAAAAACAAATAACTTGTCCTGATAAAATTACAGACTTGCCGTGTGGTAAAGTTTCATTTGATTACTTTAAGAGATCACGCCACATTTTCCCACGAGTGCTGGGTAGATTCCTGCCACAGTCTGAGCAATTTGTATTCAATAAACATTTGTCATATGTTATAAAAGGAATATGGATTGTGTTTGCCCTTTGCCGCTCTCACCTGGCATGTTAGTTTCTCAGCCAGTGCTATTGACCATACTCTGTTATACCAAGAATCAATGTTCAGCCCAACACTGGTTTTCCAACAGCTGGCCATCTCCATATGGGCAGCAGTCCATAGAAAGGTTAAGAGGTCATCTGTAGGATACTCATGAGCAGACAGGATCCTAAGCCCAAGCAGCGCTAGTGCAGGGGACATTTCAGTTGTTTTGTTCTGTATCAAGCTTTTTTCTTTGAAGACAGCATTCCAGAAGGGTTTGATGATGTCGTACCATCACCACCACATATGGAAATACATCTCCTCCAACTATTGGGATTAACTTCCTTACATATTCAGGATAGCCTCAGCGGTGTATAATGCCACCTATGCAGAAGTTTTAGCAAAGCTTCCTTTCTTTTTGCAGAAACTGATTCCAGTGGTCTCCCAGGCCACAAAGCCATCCCTTTTTCATTTGGTATTTGCACATCTATGTCCATTTTCCATGGCATTTTTGTGAACAATAGATTGCCATATTCTAGTATTATTCGAGCTTTATAAATTGAGGAAGCTGTGCCCTTAGAGAGTGGAGAGAGGTTAATGCTCTACTGCTGTTAGTTTCCTGTTTGCTTGAGTGGAAATGTCTGGGTTATACAGGAATCTTAACAGCTGGTTGAAGTGGTACCATGACCATTTAAGGTTTGGTATGGCAGCTATGAATTGTTCTTTTTTGGGGGGGGTTACTGTTTGCATAGAAATCTTTTAATTTATAAAGACCCACCTGTTCCAAACCATTCCAATCTAAACATTGCCCTGGATGAAAGCGAAGAGGAATAAGGGTTGATATTGGGGGAGCTAGTTTTTTAAACTTTGCTTTCCACACATTTACTGTGGTCCAGAGGAAAGCGTTCAGAATAGCATGTGTTTTAGTGAGTGCCGAGGGTAGAAAAGGATATGATCTATATACAGGACCTGAAATTTCTATATCTACCTGTGGTTTACCTTTTTGCCCATGGATCAGTGACACCAAATACTTTAATTACTTTAAGGCTTTGTAATGAGTTTGGAGATGTGGGATTCTGAGACCACCATTTTTGACACTTCCATATATATTTCTGGAGCCTAGTCATGCTCCCCCCCCTTTTGTGAATAAATTTGTTTATTGAGCACTGCCAATTTTTAAATTGTTTGGGTGTAATCATAATTGGCAGCACTTGAAAGAGAAACAAAAATTTCGTCAGGATAGCCATCTTTACCGCAGTGATGCAGCCTGACCATAATAAACGTGGGTCTTCAAGACATTGTCATAACTGTAGGAATACTGGTGTGAAGTTTGCTTTCTTTAGAGCTGATAGACCTTTTGATTTTGAATGATGGTCAGGCGAAGGAATGCCTATATACATTATTCCTTATTTGGATTAATTGAATCATAGAATTGGATGGGACCCCGAGGGTCATCTAGTCCAACCCCCTGCAATGCAGGAATTTCAGCGACAGCATCCATGACAGATGGCCACCCAACCTCTGCTTAAAAACCTCCAAGGAAGGAGAGTCCACCACCTCTTGTGGGAGTCTGTTCCACTGCCAAACATCTCGTACTGTTAGAAAGTTTTTTTCGAATGTTTAGTTGGAATCTCCATTTGTTCGAGACCTACCCTCCAGAGCAGGAGAAAACAAGCTTGTTCCCTCTTCCATGTGACAGCCCTTAGGATGTTTCCAGATGGCTATCATATTTCCTCTCACTCTCCTCTTTTCCAGGCTAAACATACCCAGCTCCTTCAACCATTCCTCATAAGGCTTAATTTCCAGACCCTTGATCATCACCCTCCTCTGCACAAGTTCCAGCTTGTCAACATCCTTCTTAAATTGTGGTGCCCAGAATTGGACACAGTATTGGAGGTGTGGTCTGACCAAGGCAGAATAGAGTGGTACTATTACTTCCCTTGATCTGGACACTAGACTTCTGTTGTTGCAGCCTAGAATAGTATTTGCCTTTTTTGCTGCTGCATCACACTGCTGACTCGTGTTAAGCTTATGGTCCACCAAGACCCCTAGATCCTTTTCACATGTAGTGCTAGTAAACCAGGCGTTCCCCATCCTATATTTGTGCATCTGGTTCTTCCTGCCTAAGTGCAGAAACTTACATTTGTCCCTGTTGAAATACATTTTGTTTGCTTGCGCCCAGTTCTCCAATCTGTTAAGGTCATTTTCATTTCTGATTCTGTCTTCTGCAACATTAGCTACCCCTCCCAGTTTGGTGTCATTTACAAATTTGATGATCATCCCCCCAATTCCTTCATCCAAGTCATTTATAAAGACGTTGAACAACAAGGGGCCCACGACAGAACCTTGTCACTTTTTTCCAGGATGATGAGGAACCGTTAATGAGTACTCTTTGGGTTCAGTCAGTCAACCAGCTACAAATCCACCTAACAGTTACCTTTTTCAACCCACATTTTACCAGCTTCCTTGTGAGAATATCATAGGGGTAACTTTTTGCTTTTGCTATGATGGATAACATTGAGTAGCCAGCAAATTGGGTCACAGATGTGTCTCTGGGGTATGAATACAGCTTGGTCCATGGTGATGTAGGAAGAAATAAATGCGTTGAGCCTTGCAGTAAAGATTGCTGTAAAGATTTTAGCATCTTGAGTTAAAAGGCTTGTGTGGAAATGGATGTTGCCCCTCCCCAAAGCGCAGGATAACTAGGAATTAAGTATGGAGCTAGTGCAGTTCCTGCGAATGTTTTAAGGTGCACATGCACAGGAAAGGAAATATCTGCCCCCAATGGGGAAAAGTAGTAGAGGGCAGGAAGGTAGGAACTGAGGGGGGAGGCACCAGAAAAGATAGCACAGAAACATTCCACCAAGGACTGTGCACTGGCGTGGATGGGAAGTAGTGGAATACCTAATAAAACTGAAGACACAGAAAAACTGGGTCAGAATGAACCATTAGCATCTGGAAGGACCCCTAGCAAGATAGGGAGGTTTGGGATTGTTGCCCTTTCCCAGTAGGACTTTCTCCTGAGCAGATATTTCCAGGATTGGGCTGCAAGAGTACTTGTATGTTTATTCCTGTGGCTATGTGAGCCTGTGGCAACAGCGGCACTTTCAGTCAGCTTTGTGTTGGTTTTCACCTGTGGCTAAAGTCAGCCAGAAGTGACAGCTGCTGCCATAGGTTCCAACAGTTGTAAAAATGAGCCATAAATTGGTATGAACAGGAGCTCTTTATGGCTCGACTGACTGTGCTTTCGGCTCTTTATTAGAAACAGAAACAATTATTTTTACTTAGATGAAAGTCTGCTTCTAAATTAATTTACTCTGTGGTTGAATGAACTTAGGTTGTGGGTGTTACTATAGTTTCCTTTTTACAAAAAAAGATTGCTTTATTTGCATCAGAGATGTGCCAAATGCAAGCCCAGCCAAATTTAATACAAAATGAATACATTGCCAGAATAGTATAGCTGGATAACAAAGCAAGCAAATTGGGCCTATTTGATTGGATCAGCTTCCATTGTTAAAGGAGCAAAGAAGCTTACATTCTTTGTCAAGCACAATGAAAAAAAGGAAGAAGCTGACCAACTATAAAGAGGCTAAATTTAGTTATGGATTGTTTTTAAAAAGGAGTGTTTTGAAATGATGGTGGCCTAATTACTAATTTTGAAACACACAAATCATGTTGATAGATGGGGATTCTTAGCCTGCTTTGTGTTACAGCACAGCGTAGCTTTCACATGCAGGAGTCCTCTTCCTGCCCTGCTGCTAGTGAGATAGAGGCAAACTCAGAAAGGTACTGATTTCACATATAACGGATATGTATTTTTGATTTAATTGAATACTTAGAAGTGTATTAAGTTATTTCTAATAAGATTTGGTTTGAATTATTATTAGTGAATATCAATGTATGTATCAAGGCTTTGAGATTAGACCACTGAAGAAGCTTGGAAAACTACCTTGGGAGTGTGCTACCTGCAAGCCCCAGAAAAAGGGCCCCATCGGGGGCGAACAGCAGCCTCTTGATTACTTGGGCTGCCAGGGCGAAACAGGCGCAAAATGCTGGCACCCTGTCTACAACCTTATTAGTATCCATCTACAGCTTCACTGCGGGACGTGGGTGGCGCTGTGGGTTAAACCACAGAGCCTAGGACTTGTTGATCAGAAGGTTGTGGTTCGAATCCCCGCAACAGGGTGAGCTCCCGGTGCTCGGTCCCTGCTCCTGCCAACCTAGCAGTTCAAAAGCATGTCAAAGTGCAAGTAGATAAATAGGTACCGCTCCGGCGGGAAGGTAAATGGTGTTTCTGTGCACTGCTCTGGTTCGCAGAAGTGACTTAGTCATGCTGGCCACATGACCTGGAAATTGTACACCGGCTCCCTCGGCCAGTAAAGCGAGATGAGCGCCACAACCCCAGAGTCGGCCACGACTGGACCTAATGGTCAGGGGTCCCCTTTACCTTTACTGCTTCACTAGCATCTGTCAGTATTGTGAACAACATCAAGCTTACCTTTTGTTGGTATCTTCATGAACTTACCTAAAAAGATAAAGAAAACAAAAGACTGAGTTAAGCACTTGAAAAATCCATTGAAATCAGATATTATAAGTTCATCTTAGGTTGGGTAGTTCGCAAGTCTGTGGCTTTGCATAAGGTTTTGTATTTTTCTCAGAAGATTGATAAAGAACGTATTGTGTGTATATTAGTGTATATTAGTCGCCAACATGTTGCATGAGTCATACTACTTCTATCAGCAGCACAGATTGCATTTTTCTTGCTCAGTGAAAGTGGCACAACCTTTTTTATCCATCACTGCTGACTAGCAATCTGGCTGGTGCTTGGCTTCAGATGTCATGCCGTATCATTGTTAAGGAAGCCTGAGTACGGCTGAGCGCAGGGGTGGCCATCATGTGATCTCCAAATGTACTGGACTGCAGCTCCCATCAGCCTCACCCAGCACACCCAGGGGTCAGGGGTGACAGGAGTTGTAGTCCATCAACATCAGGGGAGGGAACCACGTTGACTATCCCCCTCCCTGATTCAGTGTCATGTCTGACCTGACAAACCATAGTTACAGCCGCTACTTCCTTCGGAGGGCGCTCCACTGCGGGGCCGAGGAGATGGAGAATAAAAGCAGACAAGCAGGTCTGACCCGTGGTTGGCCTTTGATATGTGTGGAAGCCCAAATCATTCTTTAGCATGATGTCTGAACTGAGCCTGTACCATCTGAATGCAAAGCAGCCAGGGTGTCTCATCACTGAATCTCTCCAAACATTGTTTTTGTGTGAATATGGCAAACACACACCTCATGCCTCACCAGGAGAAGCTTTACCATCTTTGTCAAATCAGATAGACCCAATTTTGGTGATTGGTTGCATTTCAGGTTGTATTTATTGTTTTGTCACTCCCTTTTGTCTTACTTGTTCTTTTTAAGAAATGTACCTTCAGTGGCAGACTTGGGTTTGCTGCTGAGTCGTGTGTGGAGTAGCCCTCAGATGCGTCTCTCCAGACGGTTCTTCTGAAGGAAGTTCTCCACCCCTGGGAAGTCTCAGCACATACTTGCACTGCAAGAAAAAACATGTGCTCCGGCTATTTTTATTCGTCAGTTTTGTGTCTGATCCCTAAAGGAAATTCTCTGGGTTGCATCTGCAGTTGTTGGACATTTGCTTTGGCTGATGCACCTGGTCTGCTCCAGAACTCAGGGGAGAGGTGCTGCTCTTCAGAAGCCAATCCACACCTGCCGGACAGTCGTCCTGCAAGAGAAGGTGGTCTTGCTGAGGGATTGACTCTGACTTTGTTTCATGCAGACCAGGAGGGTTTCCTTTCCTTTGGCTGCATTCCTTCTGGAGCATACCCAGTTCCCACTGGGACCATTCTCCTGCACAAGCCAACCTGAAATAAATGAGAGGTGCAAAGAGAACAGTTCTTGCACAACTCCTGCTCACTTCAGTAAGGCTCAAGGAAGAGAATGTCTCGAGGGACTGTGCCTGTTAAATTTAAATGAGCTCATCCTGGAATGCATGGTTTGAGAACTGCAGCCTTTTAATTTCCCAAAGCCCAAGAGAGCGAGAGAGCGCAAAGTTCATCGGGGGAAGTTGACTAGTTTGGGGTTTGGGGGTTTTTGGGTGGTGGAAGAAAATTACTTTCCCAGATAATCAAGGAGCAGAAAATGGCGAGAGTCAGCAATATTTTAAACCAGCGACCTATTTCTTCAAGGTTTCAGAATGTCTGAGCCTCTCCCAAACACTCCACAGGAACAAGCATAAAGCAAGGAGGGTGGAGGGAGAGGAGGGGAGGGAAATTCTACTTTCAGAACAAACTGACCAGCTTGTTCTTTTTCCTCCTTTCCCTTTATTAGTTGTTAGGGGACTATGACAAGGTGAAGGCCGTGTCGGAAGGCAGAGACTGCCAGTGCAAGTGTCTGGTGAGGCCCTTGGGCAGAGGCGCTTGCCAGAGGATTAACGAAGGAGCTGCCAAACCAGGGGATTTTTACACGGTGGAAACGATCACTTCCGGACCGGAATGCAAATGTTCGTGTGTAGCCCCACCATCCGCCCTGAACCCCTGCGAGGGAGACTTCAGGCTGAAGAAACTGCAAGAAGCAGACAGCAAGGACTTCAAGGTATCTCTCTCTCTCTCTCTCTCTCACACACACACACACACACACACACTCTGCAACTGTGATATCTCATTCCAAAGCAATAGGCAGCCTATTGATATTCTTTTTGAGGAGATAAATCTGTAGACTCCTGACTTGAAAACGAACATGATACCTACAGGTGTACCAGGCAGGGGAGCAGACAGACAACCATAAAGTGCTAGCATGTAAAACCGGAGCTCCTCAGAGCATTCGGCATGTTCTTAACAAACAGGGCTGAGAAGCCAGTGGTGGTCTGGATGTTGTTGGACTCCACTTCCCAGGGGTCAGGGATGATGGGAGCTGCAGACCAACAACATCAGAAGGAGCACAGGTTTCCCAGCCCTGCCTGAAAGCAGCTCCTTCCTCTGAAGACTTCTGGCCAGCAACTTGCCTCTTTGCTCCCAGATTCGGGTAGGTAGCTGTGTTGGTCTGACACAGTCGAAATAAATAAAAAATAGTCCAGTAGCACCTTAGAGACCAACTAAGTATGTCCTGAGTATAGGTTTTCGTGTGCATCCACACTTGGTATCTGAAGAAGCTTAACCTGAGTCACCAGTGTGATGCAGCAGCAAAAAACCTGAATGCTATACTAGCCTGCATCCACAGAAGTCTAGTGTCCAGATCAGGGGAAATAATAGTCCCACTCTCTTCTGCCTTGGTCAGACCACACTTGGAATACTAAGGAGGTCAGGTCATGGTTGAAGAACAGTTTTCTTCCATAGATAGCTAGTTATGATTCCTCTCATTGAATTCCTTAGGAGCTAATATATATATTTAATGTTGCACTGCTCTATTGCACCTTTCAGGAACTGTGTCCAGTTTTGGGCACCACAGTTTAAGAAGGATATTGACAAGATGGAATGTGTGCAGAGAAAGGAGAACAAGATTATCAAGGGTCTGGAAACCAAGCCCTGATGAGGAACAATTGAGGGAGCTGGGGGTGTTTAGCCTGGAAAAGGAGACTGAGAGGAAATATGATAGCCACCTATTAATATCTCAAGGGCTGTCACATGGAAGATGGAGCAAGCTTGTTTTCTCCTGCTCTGGATGGTAGGACTCGAATCAGTGACTTCAAGTTACAAGAAAGGAGATTCCAACTAAACATTCAGAAAAATATTTCTGACAGTAAGAGCTGTTTGGCAGTGGAACAGATTCCCACAAGAGGTGATGGGCTCTCCTTCCTTGGACGTTTTTAAGCAGAGGTTAGATGGCCATCTGTCATGGATGCTGTCGCTGAAATTCCTGCATTGCAGGGGGTTGGACTAGATGACCCTTGGGTCCCTTCCAACTTTATGATTCTATGATCTACACACTTGTAATTGGGTAACAGTTATGGGTAACATAAATGTGACAGATTTCAAAGTGTGGAACACTTTGAATACTCAGAAAGCGCTTTATAAATTATGAGTAGTGCCAATGAATAACTGTCTTGCTTAGTTTTTTTGTGAATGTCCATTTTGCTTTATGAACATTTCTGCTTTGCCAGCTGGGAAAAGTTTCAGCAAAAGACAACTAATGATATTCATGCTTTCCCTGTAGCAACGCATAGGGAATGCTACTCCTTTTACACTTATTCTTTGTGGGAAGTGATCCTGCTGAGGGACGTTGTGTACGTGGCAGTATGTGGTAGCTGTGGCAGATCTGTGATGAGCTGCAGGGGGTGAAGGAAGAGAAGAATGTTCCTGAAAAATCAGACTCATTCTGAGTGTGCACTGCCCTTCCCAGCTGGAAATAAAACCTAATTTTGCAAAAACCCAGAACACAATTCTGGCTTTAGTTTTGCCAGTTTGTGGCATTCCAAAGCTCTTGCTTTCAAATTAGTCTCCGTTTTGTGTGTGCATATCCCAACAGTTATAATTCTGAGAGTGCTGCATGCTAAAGATGGGTCTGGTCTTGCAGTCCTCTTTGCAATGGGAGCCAACCAGATGTCTTTGGGAAACTTGCAAGGGCAGCATGATGGCTGCGACAAGCCCATGGGGATTGTGTGTGTGTGTGTGTGTGTGTGTGTGTGTGTGTGTGTTACCGTACACATCTGGTGCTTGGAGACATAGAGACAGCCTCTGGCCACAAGGGTTCCACTTGGTTTCCTGCTTTCATTCCCGCAGTCTGCCTTCCATTCCCTTGGGGCCAGCATGCGCTGTCCTCCGAGTGGCTTCCCACACTCATTTGGGGTTGTCCTTGTGTGGAAAAAGGCACATACCAGGAAGCCGCCAACTTCATGCGCTTGTTCTGGTAATTGTTGTCTTTCCTTATTTTCTGCTTTACAAGGCTTTTTTTTGGCAGTCCAAAATGTAACTGGAGACGGTTGTTTTAGGTTTGTTCTCACAACCCTGAAAGACATGAAACTTGAGCCTCCAGCTATCTCCTGCCTGGGCAAGTTCAAATGAACTGTAATCCGCTTGACTGTCTGACCAGCAACACCTCCTTTGTTCTCCAAGCAGCAAGGTGGCATGTAGCTGGCCTTGCACATGAATGGATGCCCTCAGCCTAATGAGGAATATTGCAAAGGCTTGAAAGCTGCCACAGTTTGGACCAGGCTTTGCTTGGCGGCATCCCAATTCAGGCAGCTGGTGGGAAGTCTTTGTGACATGAAATACTCGAGGATGAGCTTGCTTTTACCCTCTGTATCTTGGTGGCACATGAAAGTTTGCTTGCTATTAATAATAATAATAATAAAAATTTTATTTATATCCCGCCCTCCCCAGCCGAAGCTGGGCTCAGGGCGGCTAACAACACTAAAACAGTACAACATTATAAATACATTCTAAAAATTAATTAAAATACAAATTGATGGCAACCATAGACTAAAGCTTTGTAGAGATTGCCAAAGGAGGGAGTCAGGCTGCGCCCTGACCAAAGGCCTGGTGGAACAGCTCTGTCTTACAGGCCCTGCGAAAAGATGTCAAGTCCTGCAGGGCCCTTGTCTCTTGCGACAGGGCGTTCCACCAGGTTGGGGCCGCAGCCGAAAAAGCTCTGGCTCTAGTTGAGGCCAGCCTAACCTCTCTGTGGCCTGGGACCTTCAAGATGTTTTTATTTGAAGACCGTAAGTTCCTCTGTGGGGCATACCAGGAGAGGCGGTCCCTTAGGTACGAGGGTCCTAGGCCGTATAGGGTCTTGCTAGAGCAGACCCAAGCCCATCAGACCTAGCATTCGGTTTGCAGCAGTGGCCACCCAGACACCTCTGGAGGTTCAGAATCGGGACGCAGAGCAGGGATGGCCTTCCCCTCTTCTTGGCCCTCAGCACCTGGTTTTCATGGTTTATGGCGCTGCCTTTGAGCACAAAGGCCCGATTCAGCTCTCATTCCAAATAGCCATGGATTCGCTCCATGAATGTGTTCAGTCCTTCTTTTAAAAAGGGCAAGCAATCTTCTGGAAGGGAATTCAGAAGTTAACTAACAAATTCTAGCTGGCTGAGTGTCAGATCATATGTTTCGGGAGCAGAGGGTCCCAAGTTCAGTCCTTGAAATATCCAGTTAAAGCTATCTCTGGCCACAGTCTTGGAAAATAACTTTCCCTGAGTTTTTGGAACTGTTACTACCAGCCTGAGTAGAGCATTCTGGGACAGATGGACCAGTGGCTTGACTCCATAAGGCAGCTTCTCATGTTCAGATTCATGTTAACCTATTGGCAGCTGTGAGACGGGTGGTTGTATTGTGCCTGAGAGCATCATCCTCAAGCCTGCCTCCATCGCTCATGGCCCCCTTCTGTGAAGTTTCTAGGCAATTGCTGCCAGATTCCTTGTCATCCAGGAACAGTGTCATGTTCCATACGCTAATTCATAAAGTTCCCTGAAGAGGGTTATGCAAACATGCTTGGCTCTAGAACGCAAGCTGGGAATGCTCAGAACTAGGGCATCCAGAACCTTCTTGTGCCAAGCATAATTTGAAGCAATTCATCATCTCACATTTGTTTAACAACTTCTTCCTTTTGGATTGGGATTAGATTAAAAGATACCATTTACCGTAGTTTCATTTTTTGAAAAACAACAACTGCTATTACAGGGTGAGTTCCAATTTAATATTTTCCATCAGAACAGTGAATTTCTTATAGTTGCACACATGTGGAAGAGGAATTAAAGTACCAGTGGTTGCAATCTGGATACCGATAGAGAGAAAGTGAGAAATTTCAAAGAACACTTAACTGTAGCGTTAATTTTGGGGCGAAACTACCCATGGCCTTGTCTGGAATAAAATACTATTACATTGCAGAAGGTAGGAACAGACTATGAGGACAGGAGAAAACAGAAGCCAGGCAGCTGTAAATGGAGTAAATTCTCCTGAACAAAATTTGGTATCAAAATGTGTAAAGGGTTCCATCAAGAGCGCACACTTTCTGCTTTACTGATTTAGCATAATTATAGATCACACAGTTAGTAAAGTAGTAGAAAAGTAGTAGAGTAAATTAATGAGAAGGAAATAATTGGACCTAGAAACAAACAAGTATAAAACTAATATATTGGGGAAGAATGAAAAACAAAATACTCTGGTGTAATGAATTTTATTAAACGAGGGCAGATTGAGCAATTATAAGAATTTAAATTCCTGGGAAGCATTATTTCAACACAGGCCTCTGGACAGTTTGAAAAAGCTATGAATTGATTTGATAAACACAATCAAATAACATCAGCCACATAAAAGGGTAGATCAGAAACGTAAAGTAGCAAGGGTATATATCTTTTAGTTTTAAAAATTACACAATTATTTATGTAATTACAATTTGTATTTCTTTCAGCAAGATATAAGTGGAGACTATTGTTCTGCTGTTGTTGCTGCTAAATGCCCTTGAATAGTGACTGTTAGGTGCGCGTTTCAAAGACCACAAATGAACATTTTCTTTCTCAGTGACTTCCTTTTGATTTGTTAAGCATTTGATACAGCCAGTCATGTGACAGAGAAACCCAAGTTCTGGGTTTGAACATGTTTTGAGGGTGAAGCTAAAGTAGTGAACTTGCTGTCTTTCCCGCTCTCAGAATAAGCTACCAGGCTCCTAAAAGGGCTCCTGACCGTGGCTGTTTTCCATTTAATTTAGAATGTAAGCTTCTTATGACCCAAACCTTGTCTTTTTTGCTTATGAAGCTCTTAAAAATGCCAAGTACACTGGTGACACTATATATAGGCATGATGATTATGAAAAAAACTTTTTGCCTATATTCTCGGGATACCACGTATGTATGGCCATTAATATTTCCATTTCAGAACCAATAAACTTTGGTCCTTTCCCAACCGAGACCCTATAGCGCAACACACACACACCCGCCAAATAATGCTGTTGAGGACTATGAAATAAATGTGATATTCTTTCTCTTGTGTCTATCAGTGTACAAAACAGTCTTCATAACAGGCCTATAAGGGAGGTTTGGCTGAGAGATAGTTAACTTGCCTATTGAGCTTCATGGCTGAGCTGTTCAAAGGGTTCATCCAAAGAGCACACAAGTTGTGTTACTTTCAGGCAAGCAAATATGAGGGGAGACAGTGACATAACTGTTCCATGATTATGTGTTTTCAGCTGGCAGCTGTCATCGATCTACTAGAAGGCGCTTTCTATGGCCTAGACTTGCTCAAGCTGCACTCGGTCACAACGAAGCTGGTTGGCCGAGTGGAGAAACTGGAAGAGGTAAGATGGCTGCCCTAGACAACATTATGACAGCCCCAAGAAGCTGCTAAGTTGCAGGTCAATATTCTACTGTGGGCAGCTTGATCCACAGTACTGAGTCCCACAGCAATTTTGGGAACAGTCTGTTGCGAAATGAGATTTTGTAGGCACCCAGCATTTCCATCCCTTTCCTCTAGCCCTCTTGCTTGACATGCAGAAATAATACAAGCCCATCACTTCATGCCAGTATAAATTTTGGCTGTCTAACTTGTCTATGGAATGCTTTAGAGCAGGGCCGTCTTTAGGATATGCAGCGCTGGGGTGCAAAAAACTGCCCAGCGCCCCCAATTTTTGGGTGACGGGAGGCCAAAGTTGTTGAGCTTTTTAAGGGGGCAGCTCAGAGTTGTTGAGATTTTGGGGGGCCTGCAACTCTCTCCCATGCTGCTGCGGGTGAAGGGAGGAGAGCAATCCCTGCAGAGGCTTGGGAGGGAAGCTACACCCCTTGTGGGGGCAGTGTGCGTGTGCTGAGTGGGTCTCTTGACGGCCTGCCAATCCCAGGTGCGCAGGAGGGCGGAGCTGGCTGGCCGCCTCAGCTCTTGCAGGCTCTGCTCCGCTCGACAGTGGCTGTCGGCTGGCCTGGCTCTTCAGTCCCCGGACTCCAAATCTTGGCCCCGGACTCTCGGCCTGGTGCCCCTGAGAGCTGGGCACCCGGGTGTCCTGCGCCCCTAGCACCTATGGTTATGCCGGCCCTGCTTTAGAGGCAAAGGAGCTTGAGCCGGGAGAAATGGTGGCAGTCCTACTTATCTACAACCAGTCGCATAAATATATGCCCTCTGTCTGCAGAGAAGGTGCCATTATTCCACTTTAGCTCTTTGAAGGATCTTGGGGACTGCAGTTTGTTAAGCGTGCCCCTGTTCCCCGCATGGGCAGCTCTGGTTCAGGCTCTGGCTGTGGCGCGGGCGGCCCAGGCTTGGCAGCAGCGGAGCAACTATCAGGCAATTGCCCTAGGAAAGCTCAACAACTTTTTGAGGCTCAGGCCTCAGTTATCCTTGGTTTGATAACGTGGGTGCTAACAACATGCAGGAGAGCTTCTGTTTTCATCTGGGAAATGCTAGGTTGTGTGTGGTGGCACCAACTTGCACCAACTGCATCATGGGGACAGTTCAAGTTAAGTGTAAACACACCAGTGAAGCAAAGAATCCTTGAAATCTTTTCCATGCGCCCTCTTGGAAACAAGGGGTAGCCGCTGTTGATGTGGGCCTGGCTGGGGGCGGGTGGCAGAAGAGTGGAGAGGCCCATCATTTCAGCTGTCTCTCTGGGAGTTCGGTTACCTCTTACTGACCTAGAAAGACTCCCTTGTTCCTGTAATAGCTGTGAGTTCCTGCCTCCCCCACCTGCTCTGCAGCTGCTTCTCATGGGCGTCCTCTGTGGGGCATAGCCTGGCCTGGGAGCCGTGGAGCCTACAAAGTATATTTTGCTATTGATCTACAGCAGTTATTGTTCAAGCACAAGGTACTAACTATTTTTGTTGGTTTCTGTCCTGCTCCATCCTAAAGATTATGAGAAGCTTTCACACATATTCAATGCCCGTTCAGGGCAATTAGCCAAGGAAGGCAGAGCTGGAATGGGCGGGGGGCGGGGGGAGGGAGCTCCTGGCAGCAGCCATTGGTCCTCTAACACTTTTTAATCCCACAAACTGTAGGCTAATGTGTAGAACTCTGCTCTCTGTGCTAATGACGTTCTTTCTTTCCTTGTGCTCATTCTAGGAATTGTCTAGCAATCTCACCAAGGAATACAAAGAGAAGAGACCAAATGCAGACAAAATTTGGCAGGAGATGGATCTTAAAGGCAAGACAAATTCTTCTGACAGCATCTCTAACAACCTTGCTGACATCCAGAGTTCACTGCAGAGGGATGCTGCTGCCGCCTACACTCTCACTGAGGTGATTTCAGATTTCTGCAAGCTCCTCCTTGAGGGCCAGGAACTTTGCATTTCCATTCCCCACCCCTCCCCAAAATCAGTGAAACCAGGATTCTGTTAGATTCTGCCTGGTACCAGATTTCAAGCAGGGACAACAATCACTTTTCGTGACTCAAGTAGTCTTTAAAATATTGACTAAAAGACTGCCTGCTCCCACAAAAGGGTAGCAGTTCATTTACTCTGTGTTTCTTGTTTGGTGGTTTTGATAGGTTAGGGTGGGGCAGCTGTGACCCTCCAGATGTTGTTGGATTGACAACACTCATAATCTCCAACCAGCATGGCCAGTGGTCAGGGACGATGGGAGTTCTGCTCCAACAACATCCCTGATCTCAAATGGTGAAGGTTATTGGTTAAACACTGGCGCTTTCAACTGTGTCCAAAAATACACAGGAACATTTATATTGCTACATGCGGGCGCTATCTCTTTCACATTTCAGTATTTTAAAAACCTTATCCAAATGAATGTAGCCATATTTTCCTATCTGATGGAGATGTTTGATAAACTTGTATCTTTTGCATTAATGGATAGGTATGTTTTATTTTGAATCTGTTGACAGGATTGATTGACTGAGGTGGGAAACTTAGCGTAACTGAGGAGATGTTCTTCCCCATAACTCATGCCAGCTGTGATCTTCATTGCAGAAGAGTTCAAGTATCAAGTAGAGTTTCTGAGAAGTATTCAAAAGCAGTCCCATATACAGCACATTGCAGTTCTTGTCCCTGGGTGTTACTAGGGCATGAATGACCACTGTCCAGGCTACCTTTGCCCAGGAGGTGATCATGGTTAGCACATCAGTCTAAGCTGGTGGAAAGTGCTTTGTGCCACTGATGCCATTTGAGCATCCAGAATTATGTCCCAAACTAACAACATCTCTGACCTGCAAACCTGTTCCTTTAACAGAGGATGCAGCCCATCTAAGACAGAACTCCACCTGCTTGGTCAGATGGATAATTACTGACAAACACTCCCTCTTTGTCCTCTGGCCACACTTTAATATCTTGTTTTGTTTCTCAAAAGGAAAAATACGAAGAGGTTTTCCTGCATGATGAAATGGCTTCTCAGCAAATCAGTTCTGCAGAGTCTTTGCGCTATGCGCCCCCAGCTCCAAAGGCAAAGTCAACTTTGCCAAGAAAACTCCATGTGAGGAGCCGGACTCCAGCCCAGCCCACCATCATCCGAGGAGTCACTTACTATAAGGCCAAGGATCCTGAGACAGAAAAAGACCTCGAGGAACGTGAGTTGTCCTTTCAGGACTGGGAAGGTTGTAGAAGGGCACTTTCAGAATTCTGGATCTCAGGGAAATGCTGGCAGGCAGCTTGCGACACTTACTTTAATTCTGTTTACAATGCTTTGAATAATACATTGGGGGGGGAATAGCAGGTGAAATTTTAGTCTCTTGATAGGATGGTCTTTTTAAAAGGACCAATGGGGAAATGGGAGCAGAGGAATGGGGATGGGAGCCTGAAACAATGGGAAATTCAAAATGGTTGGAAAACTTGAATCCTGGAAACAGAAGCTGTTACTCCAAACTGAAGGTATGTAGAAAGGCCTCAGCTGTGGCCTTTTAAGGTCAGGAAGGAGAATTTCACGATGACTCCCTCCCCACATGGCACATGGGATTTCCTTTCTAATGCTGTGGCACAGAGAAAGTTATAAGTGGTGTGTACGTGTTTTCAGGACAGCTTTTATTTTTATGATTGAGTGAAATTTGATCAGAAACAGGATATAGGGTTTAGGAATCAGCGAGGCGTTTTATCTCCTGCAGCTCATTACTCATTGAGCAGGTGAGGGGGCGCTTGTTGGCTCTCCCTTTCAGGGTGTGGATCCGCTTGCAGTCGAAGGCACTAGGGGCTCTTTTGCTCTGCAAATCACTTTCTGTAGGGCACCTGTCCTCTGCCATAAGTAGATGTTCCTGTCTCCAAGCAGGAGAGATGGATGAACTAGATGGCCTCTGAAATTCCTCCCAAAGCCAATTTATATTGGAATTATTTTGATAATATTTCAAAAAACAGCAACAGGGATGTAGGCTCCTACGTGCCTGTCAGTAGCTGGATGGGAGGTTGTGCATGTAAGAAAGTTCTATGTATGTCCTGCTTCACCAGCTAGCTCTTCATGGGCCCAGGAAACAAAGGTGGAATCCTGCCAATCAGCTGTTCAGGAGGGGGAACAGGGCACCTGCATTCTGGTTTGGTTGCTCTTCCTTTCCTTCCCGCATCAAACTGCTGATCAGGAGGATTCCATTTTCTTTTACAGTGTGCAGTCCATTGGACTAGGGTCAGAATCAGCAGAATCAATTTGGGCATTTAATATTAACATGGAACCTGATTCTCAGCTTTTAAGCTCCTAAGAACTGAGTTGCACATTGCTTTCTTTTGAGGTTAACATTTAAGATGTTTTAAAGATGAGGCAATTGTAAGAGAATGTTTTGGCTTGTACACCCGGTGGGCCTGCTGAGAGAAACAAGGGAATTGCCTCCTGTTGTTCATCTAAGGGTACCCAGTTAGGCCAGAGTTCACCGTGTGTTCCTGGTACTGAGCCAGTTCCCCCCAGCAGGGTAAACCGTAGTTAGAAGTTAATCACGACTGTGCCTTTCTGAGCTGTTTGTCTCCTCCCTGCTAGGGGACAGAGGAACATGTGGACCTGTTTTATACTGAGTCAGCCCAGTAGTTCATTGAGTTTAGTGTTGTCCACTCTGCACTGACTGGCAGAGGCTCTCCAGGGTTTCAGAGATGAAATCTTTTCCAGCCGTACTTGGAGGTGCCAGAGAGTCAACCTTGGGGCCTTCTGCATGTGAAGCAGTTGCTCTACTATTGAGCTGCAACCATTCCCAAACAAACCAGGAGCCCTGACTTACTGGCATGTCCAAATCAATGATTGTGGTTTGTTTCTCTCTCTACAAACCACAGTCTGTAAGTCAGGAACAAACTATCCTGGTTGCATTAAGCCAGTGGCTGTAGTGTGTAGTATTGCAGGGAGGAGGCAAACGGGCCAGAAAAGTGCAATCATTTTAAACCATTTCCATCCACACCATGTTCAGGAGGGAAGGGTGAACCCCACTTCTTGTTCTGTGTCTCCAGCAGCGGATGAGCATTTCAGTGGTGAGAGCCCAATTGATATGCTGATTGAAGACCAGCTATTGCAACACAGCTACCTGCCAAATATTCCCACGAGGAAGCAGCTGTCGGTGGAAAAGCCACTTATTCACCAAAGCATCAGGCTCATAAAGCAGCATGCTGCAAGCATCACATCTGCTGGAAAAGAAGCATCTGCAACCAGTGCTGCAACTACCAAGCTACCCCTGTCCTCTGCCATCGTGCCTCCCTCTGTTGAGCCAACACCAGTGTCTACCTCATCAGATCTCCTTACAGCCAGCAGCCATTTTGGAATGACTCTGGAGCCCACAGCAGCCACTGGAGTCTCCTCAGTGACTGACTTGGTGGATGAAGGCGCCACATGGCCAACGAAAACAGCAGCTCAAACTGCCACACAGGCTTCCACGGTTGTGGCAACCCAGAATGCTTTTGACACAAAGTCCCCCATGGCCAAAGCAGCCACCACAAATTTCCACACACAGGCAGCAGCTCAGCCGACTTCAGCTGCCACAACCAAAGCGGTGCCCCCTGCAGCCCCTGCCAGGCCCAGCCTCACCGTCACACCCACACAGGGCCTGGACGAGGAAGATATCCGAAACAGCATTGGTAAGCTTGTGTCCTCCTTCCTTCACATTGATACTGCTTTAATCCAGACTTGTGACCAGGGTGTTGGTGGAGCTCTGTTTCTCACCCGTGATGCATTTGACAGACTGAGAGTAAATGGGGCCTGTAATATTGTTCCCTCCAAAACAAAACTTGGCTTGTCAAGTTTGGAAGAGAAATGGAGCCACCTCAACATTAGGTAAGCAAGCTCCACATATTTAGGGGATTCCCTAAGAATGCAAAAGCATTTTCTTTTGTAAATTTAGAAGACGAACAAAAATGGTCTAAAAAGGACCTGTGAGTTTTCAGGACCTACCAAATGTTGACAATAGTTAAGCTATGGAATTCTGAAGGTGACAGTTGAAGAGAACTGGGGTGGGATTGATCTGATTAAGCCCCTGAAGGTGCCCTTTAAGTGGAGATTAGGTTCAGGGAGATGTTTTCAAGGAAAGAAGTGCAAGCCCTCTTTCCACAGATACTAATGCACCAGAAAGATGTGTATGGAAACACCAGGCTTGTCTACCTAGCCTGGAGTAACATTGAATAAAACAATTGGACTCTAAGTGGAAATAAAAGAACTAGTATTAGGCGAGGCAATATAGCACTGTAGCCAAGTGGCTGAGCATATCCCTAGAATCTCCCATCAGATCAGGTTGTGGATGCTGGGAAAGATGATGCCCTTCTGCCAGCCAAGGTAGACAAGGCTAGTCTAGATGGACAAATAGTCTGACCTGATGTAAGGCAGCTTCTGAAGTTTCGCAATAGTCGTCTAAACTGCCCGTGTCTGATGCTTATTAGAACTACAGACTTCAGGCACAGAAAAGCACAACACTCACACCCGCTGCTCAGCCACATGGAATCAGGCGCCAGAGAAGCAGCTCTCGCATGCCTGTGGCAGCAGAAAGGCTACGCTTATAAAGACACAGAGATGGGTGGCAGGAGATGGTTGGTAAAGCAAACTGATGTAGGGCAATAGCAGGCCAGGTTCCTTTTTGTTTTCCAAAAGGAGCTTGTGCAACTGAAGTGAAATATAGCAAATTCTGTTAGGAAAGCAAGCAAATCACTTAAATCTGAAGCTAAAGTGGCATTGCTTTTCTGCAGATTCATGGATTCTCTCCCCTTCTGTGTGTGCACGCGCACGCATACATATGTGAGTGAGAGAGAGCACACCAAACACTGCATTATATGAGGAAAACTAAATTATGTGAATTGACCAGAAGCAGAATAAGGAAGAGAAATTGCAAAATGATAGAATGCATGCAAGTATTTCCTGTTGTTTCATTTGCCATTGATCTGCAGGGGACTCTTAGAATTTGACTCACTCTGAGGAGAGTTACCTGGTGCCTCGCCTTGCTGGACCAGGGTCCGTTCTCTGCTTTACAGACAATGTTAAGTTCTTGAGTTTTGTGGGCTGCATTGGTTACTGGCAAGCTATGAGCCTGTCCAGAAAGATTTTTGTATATGGCACATCCTCTGTGCCAACCCTGCCATGTTGATTAATATTATTGATTTATTCATCCATGTATTCCACAACATTTATATACTGCTTGAGTAACCCCGTCTTGAAGTAACCAGGGCATGGGCTGCTGTGGCCAGGCCCTCCCAGCCCAGGAATGATCAGAGCTGTCATATCAGTTGCAGTTGGTAAAAGGCACTCCTAGCTGCAGAGGCTACCTAGGCCTCCAGTGAGAAGCCTGGATCCAGAAGAAACCCCAGATTGTGAACCTGCTCGTGTAACTCCGTTCACAGTAGGCAATTGACCAATTTCTCTGCCATAGGAACTACTCACCCACAGTGCCTCCATCTTGCCAGGATTCAGGCTCAGCCTGAATTCAGCTGTTATAGAGAAATAGAGCTGAGTGTCAGCGTACTGAGGGCACCTGGCCCCCAAACTCCTACTGCCTGCTCCCTGCAGCTTCAAAGAGATACAGGCAGCTCCCCATTTGTATGGGGGGGTTGCGCTCCACATCATCACACACATCAGTGGGGCGCACATAAGCCCACCCCTGTGCCGGGGCCAGAAAAGGCGCATGCACCAGAGGCCACACATGCCTTGAATGCGCACAAAATGGGAGTTGCCTGTATAAAATAGCAGATAAGCTGCTGCCCTGCAGTACCCCATAGCATGCCCACCAGGGAGCAGAAAAGCCCCTTCCTGGTGCTACTCTCTAGTTTTTGTCCCATCAGTAGGGCCAGAACCACTGTAACACAGTGCCCCCCCCATCACTGATCAATAAGGTATTAATAACTGGATAATAAGGTATGTAATAAGTAGATGAATAGCTTGCTTTGTTGCTGCTGGCTCTGTCTTTCAGCTAGTAATTACTTTAATTCACTGGCCAATTCCCATACTTGTGTGTGCCATGTTAAAGGGGAAGGCAATTGTGTGGGGGGGGGGAGAGTGGAAAGCGGAGAGAGAAGTCCTTGCCTCTCCTTCTCCACTGCAAATCCAGCTCCACTTCCCAACAGCTCAGCAGCTATGCTCACCCTCACCTGCCCACTTGCAAGGTTGAGGCAAAGGTTGCTGAGATAATTGGTGTATTTGACACACTATGAACTCTTCAAATGTGCTACATACACAATGCAAGGTATTGTTGTGATTGTCGTTATTTGCTGCTCTGTTTTATTAACAGGCCAGTGCAAGGACACCTTGTCTACTGTCTCTGGGCCCATGACCCAGAACACGTATGGGCGGAATGAAGGGGCTTGGATGAAGGACCCCCTTGCCAAGGACGAGCGAATCTATGTCACCAACTACTACTATGGCAACACCCTGGTCGAGTTTCGGAACCTGGACAGCTTCAAGCAAGGTCTGCCTCGTGCTGTGTGATAAGAGTGCCTGAGAGAGAAAGAGGGAGGCTGAGTGTTAGTGGTGGATCCACTAACACTGTTGAATTGCCCCACAGTTGGGCCATTAAGGAGTCTGGTGGGATGGAGATGGGTAGTGTTGATTCAGCAGTTTGAGGCTAATATGAGCATAGAAGCATGAAGTCTTCGAAGCTAGTGAACTGCAGATCAGAAAATTAAGGGGACCCAAAAATAGTCTATCCAGCACAGGTTGTTCCCACTTATGCCCAGAAAAAACGCTCCTTCATCCGTTTGGTGTGATACAAAATACCACTAGACACTACAGCTGAAACAAATACTTGAAATCTTCCAAACTTGTTGTCCACTGTCAAATATTAAATGCCATTACATAACATCTGTAAGATATTCTTAATATCGGCTAAAACACCACCATTTGTCAAATAATGAAATCAAATAACTTAGATCAGCTGCGTAATCTCAGGCCGCATTGGGGGGGGGATGTGGGGTGCACCCCCAAGGGGTGCAGTGCATGGAGGTAGCCTCCTGCAGCTGGCCTTGCAAGGCACACCCAGAGCACACGCACCGCAGCCCCTCCATCCCCTGGGATAGAGCTGGTGCAGCCAGGCGCCTCTCTTTGCCCCGGGTCAAGCCTGACCAAGGGATGGCGCTGTGGCTGGGCGTGCACACATTGCTGCCCACTCCCCCCTCTCCACCCCTCGGTCAGGCTTGACCTGGGTATGGCGTTGCAGCTGGTGGGGTTGGGTGCGAGGAAGCTGCCTGTCCCTGCAGCTCGTTCGTGCGCTGGAGCCAGGCTCCAAGGAAGGAGCCTGTTGTGGGGTGCCTGGTTGCACCCCCTTCAAAAAAGTGTGCCTGGGGCCATGGCCCATTCACGCTACGGCACTGACTGAGGTATCTCAATATGTCAAATATTATAATATGCAGAGAAAAACTACTGAATATTCAACGTTAATATTCACAGAGGAGGATCTTGGGAAATAAATTAGTTTCAGGCCTAGTTAGAGTAGAGGGAGGTGCCAGTGGCAGGTCAACAGCTTTGCTTGACTTGAGGGGATGTGGTTGAGGAGGTGTTGCCTGGGGGAGTCCCAAGAGCCACATTGAGAAGCAGTTGAACTCCCACTGCAGGCCTGAGGTTCCCCACCACTGTCTTACACTGACCAGCCGGTACCGCACTACATGGACCAATAGCCTGATTTGGTATAAAGCAGTTTCCTGGACTCCTTTTTGAGCCTCCATAGGAAACAGGTGAACCAATGAAATTAAAATCAAGGCTGGTAAGAGCTGTTAGGCAGTGGGATGATCTCCCTTGGGAGGTGGTAGACTCTCCTTCCTTGGAGGTTTTTAAGCAGAGGTTGGATGGCCATCTGTCAGGGATGCTTCAGTTGAGATTCCTGCATTGCGGGGGATTCAACAAGATGACCCTTTCCCTTCCAACCCTACAGTTCTCTGTTTCTCTGATCTCTGCCCCTTAGGTCGATGGAGTAACTCATACAAGCTGCCATACAGTTGGATGGGGACAGGCCATGCGGTCTTTAATGGCTCTCTCTACTATAACCGGGCCTTTACTCGCAACCTCATCAAGTACGACCTGAAGCAGCGTTATGTGGCTGCCTGGGCCATGTTGGAAGATGTGGCCTATGACGAGGAGACACCTTGGCGGTGGCGTGGCCACTCTGATGTGGATTTTGCAGTGGATGAGAATGGCCTGTGGATCATTTACCCAGCCATTAATTACGAAGGCTTTAGCCAGGAGGTGATTGTCCTCAGCAAACTTAACGCCAATGATCTGAGCACTCGCAAGGAGACCACCTGGCGGACAGGCCTGCGCAAAAACTTCTATGGCAACTCCTTTGTCATCTGCGGCGTCCTCTACGCCATTGACAGCTACAACAAGAAGAATGCTAACATCTCTTATGCATTTGACACGCACACCAACACCCAGATCATCCCCCGCCTGCTCTTTGAGAACGAGTACTCTTACACCACTCAGATAGACTACAACCCCAAGGACCGGCTGCTCTATGCTTGGGACAATGGCCACCAGGTCACGTACAAAGTCATCTTTGCTTACTGAGGACACAGTGAGATCATGTTTAAAGGCCACTAGCACCTTTTTTTTAATAAATATTTTTTTATTGTAAAAATCAGAGTAAATAAGGTTGTTGTTTTTTTTTAAAAAAACTTTTTTTAAAAAAAGAGTGGATTGTAGATCAGTCCACATTCCTAAGCCAACCCTTTTATTTTGGGCATAACCCTGCTTTTGTTTTTATACTGAATGTGCTGCCTCCTATGAAACAATGGAAAATATTGTTCATTAGCACCCGCTAAGTGCAGACTCTCTAATAATGAATAATAAGGCAAAGGGATGCTTTTCTAACAGAAGACTCACACTTTGGATAAGAACAGGGCCCCGCTCCCATTTTTTATAATAAAACATCAATGTTTAAAACTCAGTAAAACCAGAGTCCTGCTCACATTTCCTTCTGTCATTCTATTTGTCTAGTCGCATTGTATACTCTGGGCCATAGACCCTGTAACTCTTGTCACTCCTGCCCCAGTTACTGTCTTTTGAACCCTGGGCTGGGAAAGATGTTGCTAGAGTCTTAACTCCCCTCATCCCTGGCCACTTGCCATCTGCGGTGGGGCTGATGGGAGTTCAACAAGATATGGAGGGCCACAGGTTGTTCCCCTACTTTACCCAAAGGATTCTTTATGGGACAATTCAGGCTGAATTCCTAAACATACTTGCTAGGAAATGAGCCCCATTGAACATAGCAGAACTACCCCCCCTGAGCTAACCTGTACAGAGCAGACTTGCAAGAAAACAATTTGACTCCTGTGCTGGAGAAAACTTGGAAGGAGACGAGTGCAGGCCATCCCTTCGTTGTTTGCTCCTTGTACTGGGTTGAACTCTTTCCAAACAGGCTTTATTCAGCTGCTAGATCTGTTAGACAACCATCCCCTTATCCCATGGTAGCTTATAGGGCGGGACTGTCAAAAGCTTTTTGAAACTCCAGATGTATACTGCCTTCTGGATCCCTTCTTTGTATGTATGTGTGTGTTGACATTTTAAGAACTAATAAATAAAACAAATTGCTGAAGCAAGACTTATCTTTTCAGAAGCCATGTTGATTTTTCAGCAAACCATTTCCTGCTCAGTTTCTAATGATGCTGGCATTCTACCAATTAGGCTGACATGTCTGTAAATTGTGAGATCTTCTTTGCTATATATATCAGCTTACCCTCAACGCTTGTGTTGGCATTGCAGGCTGGCCAGTGTTTCCTTTCACCAGGACCCGGCGGGAGCCAGGGCTGCCAGGGCCTTCCCTGCTGGCAGGTGAGCTTCAGCAAGGAGCCAAGGATGAGCACTGGGATGGGGAGGGGGTTGGGTCAGCTGCGCTGCTTCTGCTCCCTCCATGTCTGGCACGCTCTACTCTCCTGGCCTGGCTTTGGCTCCAGGACATCTTAGGCGGCACACATGACAGTCAGCAGCATGCAGGGTAAGGGAGCACATCTCAGGAACGGCAGCCAGGTCCAAAGCAACACTCCTGGAGCCCGCAGGCCGTGCTTTGCTCCCTTCCACCCGCCAGCACCCGCTCCCCACCTTGTCCCCATACAAGCCGCCTGACTGACTGTGGGGGAAGGAGGGAGCACCTCTGTGGGGCAGAGAAGGAGGAGGACCAGGCCTCTCTGGGACCAAGAAGCCTCAGAGGCAGCGGAGGCCGCCTCAGGCTGCCTGGAGTTCTAGAGCAAATCTGGTGTGCATGCAGGGCTGGAACCGCAAGGCTGTCTTGTGCCAGTGTGCTGCAGCTCCTGCGTGCTTCTGCCTGGCACCACCCCTTCAGCTGCTGAGGTAGGTAGTGAGAAAGAGGCTTATGGGGTGCCCTCAGCCCATCTCTGGGTGCAGCAAGACCAGCTTGCCAGTCGTGATTTGGGGCCAAAGGTGTGGGAGAGGGAGCATGGCGGCTCCTGGCACTGTTTCCCCCACAGGACTGTAGCTGCTGCATCAATCCCCAGACAGTTAAGCTCAGGGAACCTGCTGCCGTGGATCAGACCCACCCCAGCCCAACGGAGGTTTGGTCCCTATTGTTGTTCGTGGGCGAGTGCAGAGGAGACCAAATATGGCAGTGCCCACAGGGGAGGCCTGAGGCAATGAGGGATTCCCCTTGATGATGCGACCTTTGCCCTCAGAAATGGCTCCGACCTCCAGATGTGGCAATAACCATACTCATCCTTTTAAATCAATCAATCGATCAATCAATCAATCCCCCCTTTTGCTTTGTATTTTTAGTCAATTCCCCCCTTTTCTTCCTTTTTTCTAGGGTGGGGGATCCCCTTCTTTTAACTTTTTATCCCCTCCTATTTCTACTCTCACTGACATCTCTTAATTATTACCAGCTTTTTATTTTTTTACTTTCATTTTCATTTTTTTATTACTATTATTAAATCTTTCAATACACCTTTTATTTTTTATCTTATTCATTTCTTTTGCTATCACGTGTAGTTGAGTAAGATTGTCTTCCATGAATACGATCTTAACAGTGTCTGTAGGTGACTGTGGAGGCCAATTCTGGATCCGCACATAGCGGAGACATAGATTTTCAGGTCAGCAACTTGATTACCCAAGTTTGCTATTAATAGTGCATAGGCGTTAGTTGGGTGGGAAATATATCTATATAATATAGCACCCACATACACAGAGATATTGGGGCCAGTGCTGCAAGATAGAATTTGAACTGAATGAACACAATAAAACCAAACATCACGGAACTACACTTAGAAGGTTTTTAATTTATTTTTTATCTTCTAAAGAACAGATACAGAAGTAGTCCCTGATTTTGACATCCTGTCTGTAGGATGCCTTCAAGCCAAAGCAGATGCATCACCTCAGGTACAAAACACACACAGATCCACAGATCAAAACTATAACCCCCCCCCCAAAAAAAACACAGTTCATACAAACAGAAGAAGTTACTTTCTGGGTCAGACACTGAAAACAAATAAACACAATCCTGAAGAAGGAAATAACTTAGTACAAAAAGACAATGTGCACAAGGCCGCCTTTAACTTGTTTGTGGGGTGTTAACAAGCACACCTGGGCTTGTAGAAAAAACTGGTCTAAGCTGGGGGGGGCAATCAAAATGAGATCAACTCAGAAAATGGTCTCTGCTTAGCTTCTTCTGAAAGGGAGGTTTTCAGTTTTAATAAAGTGTTCTGCAAGAGTTGTGTCCTAAGCCAAAGGCAGCTGGCCAGTTGCAGAGAGGCAGTGCTGAGGCTGGCAGGAGGACAGCTGAAAGCCGTGACTTTCACATGGGCTAGACAAGAGATTAATAAAGGCCCTCAAGAAGGGGGAGGCTTTTAAAGTAAAGCATAGCATCCCTAACAAATGAGGAGTGCCCTAGCAAACCAAACAGGGCACAGCTCTAGTTCATACTGTAGCTCCTTGAACGTGCATTACTCCCCCACCCCCAATGGGCCAAGACTAGCACTAGGAGAAGGATGTGAGCCTGGTGCACTGGGCATCCCCAAGGAACCCTGTATTGTGTATAGCTAGGACAACTTAGGCCAGCATGTTGGGTGAATGAAAAATCAAAACTTGACAAAACCAAGCTTGGGGTTTGTGTCTGGGGTGGGGGTGGGGGTGGGGCCTGCCTGATTTGGCTGGTAATTGCTTGGCAGGGCCAAAAACTCAGCAGGACTCTAAATGCACCCTCAAACCATACCCTTTATTACAGAAAACGTTTGGTTATACCAAAACTGCTTGCTTCAAACTGTGTTATTGGACCATATGAGTCTGAAAAGCAGAAGAAAGTACCCCAAAATGGTTCACTCTCCAACTATGCAACAGATCCAACACTGTAGCCTTCCTACTGGATTGTGCCCCTCTTTTTAAAGCCATCTTGCACTTTCCCCAAAAAACACCTTTCCAAAAATGTTTCTGTGTATATTTCCATTAATATTAAATTGTGCAAAATATGGCTTTCTACAGGGAACTGCTTTCAGGATGCTGAGATTTCTTTGTGCCACGATGGGGGCTCAGCATCCAAGTGAACCACGCCTTCCTTAATAAAATGATGTTTCTGAACCATTACTCAGCTCCCACTAGGAGCCTGCAAGTTTCCTCTGCAGGAAAAATGCAGCAGAATCCCTCCATGCTCAAAGGCTCTTCATCACATACACCCTGAGATGCTGTGGAAGGGTAAAGACAATGTATGGTGGAGTTCCAGTCACATAAGCACATTTTGTAAGAGGCAAATTCACCTGTTGCATGGTAAAATTCTGGCAAAGCAAAGCATTTTCTCAGCATAATGGACAAATAAGAGCTGGTGCATATATTGTTGTTGCTGTTTATATGGTGCTGTCAATGCGCATAGCACCTTACCAGGTAAGCATGAATGTTGGGTCCTTGGCCTGAAGAGCTTATAAATGAAACACGGGAGACAACAGAGGCAGGAGAAGAAGATGGAGACAAGCTAAACTGGGACTTGTCAGAGGTGGCCTCTCTCCTTTGGAGCATCTTTCCTGCTGATTTCTAGGCCCCAGTAATAAACTCTTAGCTGATGCACCAGCCAGCTCCTGGGTCTTTGGTTTGTTATTTTAAGCATGTTTAGGGTTGATGCTTTTCAATTTTCATTGCCATTTTGTCATATTGTTTGGGCTTTTCCTTATATTTTATGTATGTCACTTTTGATACCTCGGCAGAAAGTTAACCAGTAAGTTATTTCAGTTAAAAATCAATTCACTTTAGTTACACACTCTGAGCTTTAACTATAACTACCAGCTTATTTGCACAAAATAATTGAGCCCAGGAGTGGTGTACTCCAGTGAGCAGGGTAAGTTCAGATAAGCTTCATGACTGCACCTAACTTGACAATGCCACTTTCAAATCAGCTCAAACGCTGCGGGACAATTTAACCCCTCCTGCTGCCAGTCATAAAAGGGTGTACAGAAGTTACAGCAACTGCATCTATAAGCCAGGATTTCCCTACCCTTGTCACATCCCATTCATAGGAGCTTCTACTGCTACTTCCCAGGTATGTGTACCTGACATTACACTGACCGTGAGTAGACTACTTGTGCAAGTGTTATTTGCACAAATGTAGTGGTATGTACAATGTCTGAACTGACTCCCTTTTTTCTATTTTAGAAACAGGCAACAAAGGAAGCAAGAGGTTGCTGGTCCTGTAACACCTGCCCTGGTCATGCCATATTGGCATGGTCTTCTCTGCTGAGAGTGCTTCTGGCAGGAGGTTAGTTTTCTCTTGGGAGAAGGCAGCCATTCTTGCTGTAAGCCCTATTTGTTTCAACATGCATTTAACAGATGCGTAACACATCTTCCCTGACTTACCCTTATCATTTAAGTTACCCTGAGCATATCTATATGGAAAGACAGCAAATATATATATTTAAAATAAATAAATATAAACCTTAGCCTCCTGGCTCTAGCTTCTTTTCCCTTTGCATGATCTGTCCATTTTCTACAAGAGCAGCACATTCTCCTTTCCTATTCCTGACCATTTCAAAGCACATCCCAATATGGGCGCTCTAGATGCCCAATATGGGTACTCAATATGTCCACGTGCTCCTAAGGAGTGGGGGGGGGGAGGCAGGGAACCTGCTCTCACTGACTGTGGACATTTAACTGACTCTGGCTTTGGTAGCCTTTGCATCTTCTTTAAAAGGCACACCCATTCCCAGCTGCCTAGAAGCTATCCCCTTTTTCCTGACAGAGTAGGGATTTGCACAGCTACAACTGTTCCCCAACACAGCTTTGCTTTGGCTTCCTTCTGCAAAGCCCAAGGTCATTACACACTGTTCTATGGCCTTATCCAGACGATCTGTTCAAATATTGTTCGTATTACGTATTAGTGTTTGCAGGACAGCTCTGCCATGTCCCATGTCCCCAGGTAATGGATTTAGAAGAAGGGAAAGTGCTTTCTTAGGCTAAAAATAAAAACCTAAAATCAGATATATGAGAGAACACGAGAAGGAGACACTCACAGGAGAGTTGAAACACCACAGCCTTAAAGCAAATTCTGGAGAAGAAGCCTCATATCCATTAAGGCCAAAAGTGCATTTAGCTACAGTCGCTAAGGAAAGTTTAGCAAACTGAAGATTGTCCACTGAGTGTGTGTGTTTCTCTGTGAGTCTGTGTGTAACTGACAAGGGGCTCTTCCAAAGTCAGTTTCAGTTCCCTCTGTGCAGGCTGATAGTACGAGTCAAAACTTGGGTCTGCACAGTGAGGTCACAAGCGCCAGTCAACAGCTGCTCATAAAGACATGTCCAACCACATTCCAGACAGCACTACAACTTTGTAACCCCACTAGCTAGGGAAATAATTGCTTGCCCATCAACTATACATTATTAACTTGAGGGATGGATAACCGGTAGCATCACCAAAAGATCCATGTTTATGATACAACAGTTGTCTTGAGGTTGAATTAAACATCTGAAGCACCAGAAGCAAGCTGCCTTGGGAGACCTTCATCTGCAATCCACATCACCACAGCTGGGAGCTCCTTGTTTTCTCTCCCCCTCTACTTTTGCCATCGATCAAATCAAAACAACCAAAAGCCCACCTCACCTATTTTTATACAACCAAGTAATGTTTTAAAAGCAACCTGCATGTTACTGGAACAGTAGCAATGGTACAAAGCAGTGGGGACGGATTGGGTTAGTAGTCTTAGAGGCTTATTTGACAGCCTCATGTTGACTGTGATAGACTCTTGACTGAGGGAGGACACTGCCCATAAAGCTGCCATGCCAAACCCATTAAGAAGCAACCAGGCCAATTGGTCATTCCAGGGTATTAAGCCTGACATTGGGAGCCTACTGTGATGATTCTGTGATTGCTCTCACAGCAGGAGCTGCCTCTGGGACAGTTGGAGGAGAGCTGTAGAAGGATGTTGTATGGTTCCTCTGATGGTCTCGAAGGTAAAGAGGGATGGAGGAGCTTTTGATGTGCAAGATCCTGGTGTCCATCACTTCACAGTCTATCTGCATCATAACTTCGTAGTCTTGGCCATTGATTATTTTCTCTACAAAAGTAAAAGGAAAGAGTCATAATGGGGAAAACATTTCCGTAACTGTATGTATGTTATAACATAATCTAACATAACATAACAACAATATACATGCAGCTGCTGTACAGAAAAGTTGCTCCTACATTTCTTACAAACTAATTCATATGAAATGAACAACACTTTGTATGAACTAAAAAGAAAGCAGTGTTCTATTCCATTTACTGGGTACATTACTTGGATGGCTTTATGCCATGAAGTGGTCTATAAATGTGTATTACAACAACAACAACAACCACCACCAAATTGTTGTGGAGTGCTTTCCCACAAACTCAAAGCAGGTAACAGTCTATAAAAAAACAGGAATAACCCCACCACACTCAGAACAAACAAGAACAACTAAAAATAAAACAAACTTCAAAAGGGAGTGATACACGGTAAATTATCCAAATGACCAGTGGGGAAAATATTTTACACCTGTTACACTCCAGTAAATATGTCAATTTCCAAAGACACCCAGGTTTCAAAATTTAGGACAGACCACAATAAAGGCCATGTTCCTGGCATCATGGGCAGTATCAGCTGGCCTGATTTCAACTGGCATGTGGGCACATACAAAGAGAGGCAGTCCTGAAAGTGTGTTCCAAAGCATGTTGATTAAAGATACTACGAAACCCATGATCCTCCTAGACCAGGGCTGTTTATCAGCCTTCCAGAAGTTGCTGAATTACAAAACTCAGGACCCTCAGCAATTAGACACATGGCTGAGTCTGATGGGAGTTGGAGTTCAGCAGTATCTGGAGAGCCACAGGATCCCCACCCCTGTCCTAGATGTACTCAAAAGTAGAACTAAACATCCGCCAATGAAAATTAGTCCTGGATGGATAGCATTTGGAAAGTGATCAGTAGGTTTCTATTTATCAAGAAGGAAGAGTGAAGAATCTCACTGGTTTCCAAGCAAAGCTGTATAAAAGTATTGTATGATTTTTAACCTGACCCCTCTGCTGTGCTTAGCTGAAGTGTGAGCAGTTTTATTTGCTTTTCTTCTTTTTTGGGAACATGCCAGCTGTTCTTTTGCACAAGCCCCATGAAATGAGGACAGCCACCCAAGAGCAGTGCAGAGGACTGTATCTTGCACCCCAGCCTTTCCTTTAGGGCACGGCCACAATGGTTGAGAGTTTGTGCAGAAGGGGCAACAAACCACCTTCAAGAGAATTTTGGGATTTTGCTTTGCCACTTATCTTTGGGAACCATATAATGTGGTGTGGTAAGAACTGGCCCTGAGGTAGAAGTTTGCAAAATCACTCCTCACATGGTCTCTGCCTTTCCATTCGCTTTTTCATTTAATGGACCTGCATCTCAGAGCTGTTCCTGCCACAATGGATGGTATTTGGTTGTGCCAATATCCAAGCATAAAAAAGGCAAATTTCACCAGATGTGAAAGAGATATGCCACTTCCTCAAACAAGGGCTCAATCCTTGCTATTTCAAAAGGCAAAAGCAATATATGTATAGATCACACACACACGCACGCACACACACGTTGTGTGCATGCATTTTTTATTTGCCAAAGTATGTCAGAGATTACTATTTTTAAATTTTAGATTTTCCTAGTTCCCCAGAAAATATCAAGAAACTCTGGCATAAAACAATAATCAGTGCCCAAATAAAAATTAGTTTCTCCCCAAGGAAATTGTCAATATATAACTCAGAAAATACACATGTTTCAAGGGTAGATGAATGTCCAGTCCCTGACATCTCTACATAAAGCTACCTCAGGTAACAGCTGAAAAAGGCTTCTCTCATCCTGAAAATCTGGACCAGACAGATCAATGGCCTGACACGGGCAGTTTCCTATGTTCAGCCCTGGCAGGCTGTCCACACACCTTTGAAGCTCATGGGATTGGGCTGGGGGTGGGGATTAACTTACTTACTCTGGATGTATTTACACATAATGGTAATTCAAGATGGAGAGAAAACAAACCAGAGTGCTGTTTCAGATGACAACAATTTAGATGATAATAGGCTTGTTTCTCCACTCCGCTAAGTGAGAAGAGAAACAGGACTGTGAAACAAACCACACAGTTGGGGCTTAGCATTCTGTGTGAATGCAGCCATTCTAAATTTATTCATTCTGAAACTTGTACTCTAGTTTGCTCCCTCAATATTGGATGCTTTTTAGAAATTTTACACTGATACCGATACGGAATTAAGAGGCAGACAAGGAATCAGATTTTGTAGCGCTGCCTGGGTTCTCTTACTCATTGCAAAAATGTTTTGAACATATTATGAGCCATCTCCCAAGCTTTTATAATAACATAAGCAGTCTCTCTCTGACCTCCCCACCATCCACAATAGCTTTCAACTTCTTTTCTTTCTGCATTCATGCAAAACTGCCCTGGAGCTTGTCCCACCCCAGCACCTCTTGGTGGGTGGTCAGCTTCTCTTTTTTTTTTTTTTTTTATAATAATTTTTATTGGGTTTTCACATTTTATAAAGACAAAAACAAAACACATAACACCAAAACAAACATAATAAAAACAACAACAAACATGAATAGTTCCAAAAAGTCTTATTTTCTAACCCTAGTCCTTGACTTCCCCCCACCCCCTCCCTTGCATCCCTGTTCCCAAGTTTATGTCAGCAAGTTAGCATTTCTTCCTTCTTAATATTAGTCATTTTATAGAAGCAAAAATTAAGTTTTCCCTAAGTTGGACCCCAATTCTCTTCCCTCGATTTCTCATTTTTTCTTAAGTAATTTCCTTATTACTAAACCCCTGGTCTTGAGTGTTATTTAAGCTTATGCTTCCCTCCCTCCCATCCCCGCTTTGCGTCCTTTCCCAAGACATGTCCAAAATAACAGTTTTTAGCCTGGATTCCGCACATCCGAGGCTCTCAAATCTATTTCAGTCCCTCTCCGCCGGTTTTGTTGGTAGTCCTCTTTGTCAGTCATCGAGTCTCGAAAGATTTCATTAACATTCAATCCAATCAGTCCATAGTCTCTTCCCATATTTATAAGCAACTGCTGAGGAATTTCCACAAGGCCTGAGTCTTGATGATGGTCAAAATCAAGGTCTATGTGGAGGCCCCAATTGTACTTCTTTATTTCGAGTTCCTGAGATCCATAAACTCCCAGGGCCTCCACTTTCATCTTCTGTGTCTTTCGTAGGCTTGGAATAGATTCCATCCAATGGTCTCCTTGTTTGTATTCTCCAAATATCGGCTTCTGGTTAGCATTTTCCCACATAACTTGTTCTCTTTCTTGTTTTGTCTTCTCCTCTTCTTTGCTTATTATTTCAAATTCAGCTGTGGGTTCTTTCTCATTCAAATCCTCATTACATTCAGCAGAGCTACTTGTTTCCAAATCCAAGGTCGTCAGTTGTTTACTCATAGCTGTAGTCTGCTCCTGTAAGGTTCCCACCAGTGAAAACATCCTTTCGATTTCTCTCAGTATCTTTCCACCCACAGCCATTGTAATTCCACAGAATTCCCCCTAGAGGGAATCTGGTTACTGGATGGTCTTTTCTCCAACAATCCTCTGTCCTATTATTGTTTCTTTGTTTCCCAAAATTTTAGTTCAATTGTAACTCTTTTTTATCCGGAGAGGTCTTAAGTAGCAATTTTTTCAGTATTAACAGTCCATTTGACAGCTTTGACAGCTGTCAAATTCTGCTCCTCTATACAGGCTCCAAAGCAGATCGCTCCCGGGCTCGGGAGGGAGGGTTGTTTACCACAAAACAAAAACTCTTCCAACACTCCACTCTCCTGCTTAAATTTACTTTTCCAAATCTTGGAAGTTACTGTCTTTTTTTAAAACTCACCCTTTACAGGGTAGGCACTCCAGCTTAGCTCTTATATCGTTGCTCTGGATCGTCTGCAAGGGGGGGGGATGGGGACTTCCTTTTGGCACACCCCCCCGGTCGTCTCAAATTCAAAAGGTAAAAGTTTTTAAAGCTCAGTTCCAAATTACTCACGGGTTCTTTTTTTTTTTCAGTCCGAATTTCAAGGAAGGAAGTCAGCGCTCTCCAGTTATGGCTCGCGGCTTCGCTCAGCAGCGGTAGCGATCGACTCTCAGTGCCGCGCCGTCCCCCGTATCCCCTCCATAGCCTTTAAAAAGGCTCTTCGCGAATCAGGGGGGGCGCTTAAGGCACCCGCCGAGTCTTCAGTCCGCAGGCATCTGCACCTGCGGTTTTTAAGGGTCCCCGTGTCGCCGGCACGGCAAAGACCCATCCACCGCTGAGCCGATTCCCTCCGGAGCTCGGAGGGAATCCGCCATTCCCGGATCGCGCCAACCCGGAAGTCCTCGGGTGGTCAGCTTCTCATCACTCATCAAGGGCGCAGAGCCGAGAGCAGCTTGCTCCAGGGGTTTCTGCACAGTCAGTCACTGTGTGGCTATTGAACGGGCTCTTTGGATGCTGCTTCCTGCTCTCTGCCCCGCAAAGGCCAGGTGGCCGAACCGGCTAAATGCCTGTTGTGGAACAGTTGCCTGGGAGCTCTTGTGTGCTAAACGATGCTCTTCATCAGGGCTGTTCAAACACAAGGACTACCTTTTTCATTTTCTTTCTTGACAAAACAAAATGGGGAACACATCTAACTTCAACATTTGGGTGGGGGAAAGTGTATGCAGTCCCAGATGGGACCATGCTGGATGCTAAGTCTCACTCTTTATGACTGCCCATTAATGAATCATTCACGTTGCACTCTGAGGCACAGAGGTATGGCAGCATGTACTTAATAACTGAACTACTGTAGGTGGACTGGAGTTCCCTCATTTGACTGGGAGAGAGGAAACTATCAAATTTCTTTTCTTTCAGTCTCCCAAAGCCAGTTTCTCTATGGTGGAGAATCAACACACCAACATCATTTACTGAGTCAAACCACTGGTCTGTTTTAAACCAGTGCTGTACTCGAACAGGCAATGGCTCTCTACAGTCTTCCCCTGACCCTCCTACGTGGATGGGGCACTGTTTGAGAGTGGAAGCAGAACTATTTCCCCAAACCCAATTTCTCCCCCCCCCC